GCACCGGTCCCAAAAGGAAAAACCCTCCAAAAAAAAAAAAAAAAAAAAAGATTCATAAAGGGATCAAATCCTCACAATATTCCTTAGACATGTCTGCAACCATTTAATTCCAGTAACAGCTTCTTAACCATAAATTTTCCAAACTGGGAGGGTAAACTTTGCTCATGGTACCTACTTGGTGGGCTCAGGAATGCGCCTCTGAACAGAATTCTCAGCCTCCTCATGCTCTCATGGTATGCCAGGTTTTTTTCAAATTCCTCCCAACATAACCACAGCCCAGGTTCTATCCGAAACCCATTTCTACGGAACCCTTTCACAGGCCTCTCCTCCACTGTCTCCACTGTGCTTCTTTCAGAACACAGAGCCACCTGTCCTGTAGAGCAGCAATGTGCTACTCCTGCCTCTTTTTTTTTTTTTTTTTTTTGTAGAGGTTTTTGATATAGGGCACGTGCACTCGCCAGAAAGAGAGAGACAGAGAGACAGAAAGTGAGAAATCCCCCTCCAGGGGGATGGCCACACCACAATCCCTTCTCTTCCATTCTCCTCTCAAGATTTTGGGCACGCACACACACGTGCCCGGTGTGAGTTTTAAGCCACCGGGTCCAGGACTTGAACCACCGTCAACTACATGGGAGTCCAGCAACATAGCCATTACACTAACTGCTGGTCCCTACTCCTGCCTCTCTTACAGGCTAGTGGCTGCACCCTAACCTGCAAAAGCCCAAAGCTTGCATATGGTATGCACCAAGGCAACTATGGAGATTAACAAGAGAATCCTTAGTTTCTTTTACATTTACACATACACGTATGTGTACTTTAATTTTTTTTTTGAAAAGAGGTTTTTGCTATAGAGCACATTTGCTTGCTGGAAAGACAGAGAGAGACAGAAAGCAAGAAATCACCCTCAGTGGGGGATAGCCACACTGCAATCCCTTCTCCTCCATTCTCCTCTTGGGATCTTGGGCATGCATGCACACGGAACTGGCCTGAGTTTAAGGCACCAGGTTCAGGACATGAACTGCAGTCGACTACGTGGGAGTCCAATGACATAATTATGCCATCTGCTGGACTCCATATGTGTACTTTTTAATTTTGATTTTGAAATTTTAATGATAAAAATGTCAATCGTGAAGGAAAAAATACGAGTTCACAAATACTCATCACCCAGATTAAACACTTAGTCTGTTTTTACAAGTCAATAAGACTGAAGTTCAGGGACCAGCAGATGTCATAATGGTTATGTCACTGGACTCCCATGTAGTCAACAAAGGTTCAAGTCCCAGGCCCAGTGACTTAAAACTCAAGCCAGGTACATGTGCCCAATATGCAGGCAGGAGAATGGAGAAGAAAGGATTAAAGCGTGGTCACCCACCTAGGGGATGATTTCTTGTTTTCTGTCTCTCTCTGGTGAGCGTACATGCCCTATAGCAAAAATCTCTCTTTAAAAAAAAAAAAAAAAGACTGCAGTTCATATAGCGTTTAAGTACAGGTCCCTTCAACAAGCAACCTCCAACAGCCCACAGGCACAGTGATCTACATGTACCTGAGCCAGCACTAAAGCCTTTCACACTTGGGGCGCAGCATTCAACAGCCATGTACAGAAAGGGAAGGGGGGTTGAAGTGTCTAAGTCAAGTGAGTGTGGGTGGCCAGGAAAAAAAACTGGCAAGAGCAGGGCAGGGGCTACCACTATGCCTGGACCTCATGGGGGCTAATAAAGGTTTTTATATTTTTAAAGATTGTTAAAAAGAAAAAAAAAACAGATGCACACACATACATACATGTGGTACAGAGAACATGTGTGGCCCTCGCTATCTGATCCTTCACAGAAAGCATAAGAGTCACAGTCACAACAAAGAGAAGAGCACAGATCTAAGGTTAGGTACAGACATTGCTTAATGTGTCACTGGGAGCATCAAACTTATGTCAGGAAAATGTGCCAGGAGTCAACATTTCTTTATCCAATATTTACACAAATCATCTATTAAAAAAAAAAAAAAAAGGCACCTCACCAACCTGTCCGAGTCTTGTGAAAAATCTGTACACCACTGAAGGTTTCCCATGGACAGACTCTCCAACGCTATCCCCTTCGGACATTCTGTAACTATGAGAAAAACACAAAACACTACTAAATTAAATAGGAAGTATTCAAGACATAAAAACTGTGCTCTATTTTCACCAATACCATCAAGCACATTTTTCAATAACAGGATTTCATCCACACCATTTCTTTTTGTGTTTTACAGGCACGGCATCCCTAATCCAAAACTCTAAAATGCTCCAAAACCTGAAATTTTTTGAACACCAATATGTTGTCCAAAGTGGAAAATTCCACATCTGACCTCATGGGACAAGTTGCAGTCACAAAAATATTAAATCAACTTACCTTCGGGCTATATATAAAGTACACGTGAAACAAATTTCATCTTTAGACTTGGGTCCCATCACCAAGGTATCTCATTGTGTATGTGCAAATATCCCAAGACTCAAAAAATTAAAATCTGAAACACTTCTGGTCCCAAGCATTTTGGATTAGGGATACTCAACCTGTACCGTGAATTGTTCAGGAAAAAGAAACAAACAGGTACACGGGCTTTGGTGGAGAGAAAGGGCAGTGCGAGAAGAATGTGCCCAGCAGCACTGGACAAACACTGGTTTGTATTGTCAGCACACACGCACCTAGGCAGGCGGTGCTGTCCACCCGTCCTGCCAAGAAACTGCCCCTGCTGACCACTGGCCGACAGTTGTGCTGCTACATGCCCTCCCTCTGGGTCCTTCAGTGGCTCACTCGTGGCTTCCCTCAAGTACCCATCCTCTTTGCTCCATCCTGGCTCTCCAGTCTGGCAGAAGCAGGAAGTATCCTGTCCTCTCACGGCCAGGTCCGCTATTCTATGAACGGAAAAACAGCATCTTCAACTCTCAGGTAATCTACCTATGGTATGTCCCAGTTTCTTATCTGGCAGTTGTAGGTAACTGTATCTGCTTCTATTCCAATAAGCTGCTATGATCCTATGAGGATCATAGGATCAATTCAACTGTAAGAACCCAAGTGTCAAGAGGTCATGTACATTAACCCCCTTAATTCTCAAATGACCAAGAGAAAGGGGCATCATTACCCATTTCACAAATGAGGAACAAGTCTCAATTAGTCAGAGCCACCTGTCCAAGGTCATGGAACAGCTCTGCTCCTGAACAGGCCCAGAGCCTCATTTTTTTTTTTTTGGAGAGGTTTTTGCTATAGGGTGCGTGCACTCACCAGAAAGACAGAGAGAGACAGAGAGGCAGAAAGCGAGAAATCACCCCCCGGGGGGGTGGCCACGCCGCCATCCCTTCTCTTCCATTCTTCTCTTGGGATCTTGGGCACACATGCACACACGCCCAGCATCAGTTTAAGCCACTGGGACTTGAACCACAGTCAACTACATGGGAGTCCAGCAACATAGCCATTACACAAACTTCTGGTCCCCCCAGAGCCTAATTTTAACACCTGGCTCCTCAACTGATCATACTGCCACCCGTTCCTGAGATGAGATGGATTTAGAGGACTTGCCATTTGTTGGGAAAACACTGCTGAGTCACTGGGTCCTTCAAGTCATTACTCCCACTCTAAAGATAAAACACTTGTGGACCTTTAAGGGAAAATGCCAAGAGCAAAGCTCACAATTGCCCCAAGTCTGTGGGGACATCTTCCCAAACTCCATCTGCTACCATGGCATGGTGAAGAGGAGAAAAAGACTTCAGTTTCAAGTTTGCTTTTAAGTCTGACCTGTGCTGAATGGCTGTGAGGCCTTCAGCAAACTCTGACCATGCAACCAACTTCAGTTTCCTCATCTGTAAAATGAGGCTCTATTAAACACCAGACAAGAAAGCACAGACATCATTCCACCACAGCCTTTGAGGCTGGTCATATTGTTTCCATTTACAGGTGAGAAAACTGAGGCTCAAAAGGCTAAAGTGCTGACCCAGTTGGTCAGCCTGTTCACAATGAGGCTGGAGCAGGAACCCACACTTGCCTGAGTCCAACACCTTCTAAATCTCATCCTCACTGCAAGCATTTAGAAAATCCTCCTTCTGAATAGAAGTCAGCAGGCTACGTGATGTGATTCTGGATGTCGAGTGGATAAACTTCCCAATTACAACTTCGATATTAAAGTTACTTGAACAGTTCCACTATGCCACATCATCAAGTCTGTGCTAAGAAGCATGAACATGATTCCATGACACCATTTCCTGGATCGTGGAGCAGAGTGCCAGGAACTGTCAAGGAGGAGATCAAGAAATGCCCTTTGGTCTCATGAGAGCTACAAATATTAAAAGACACACAACTTAACCGACAAGCCAAATTATGGCTTCCAAGACCTCCACATCCTTTTTCAGGACGTGCATTTTTATGTTCAACTAGGGAGAAGTCCAGTTTTAAACAGAGGCTATATTAGAATTCATTACCTTGAATGGTTACCCTGTTTAGGCCAAAGTCAGGCCAGCAGAATGCTACCCCATTTTATGGTTCCTTACAATTTCCCCTTATTTTACTCTGACGAATGTGGTTACCACTAAAACACTTTCCTTTCAGTGAAATGATAAAATATTAAAAGAAAAATATCTAGCTATCTAATTAAAATACATACTCTAAGCACAGCTAACTCCTTAAAATTTCTCACTCTTTTGACTAAATGTACAGAAAACCTACCAGAAATGCATTAGCCAATTTCTGATTATCTGACAAACATAATATAGATATTAAAACATGGCTCTACATTTTGATTAAAATATTGTTGATGGGCCAGTCAGGTGCCATAGTGGTTAAGGCGACTGGATCCCACATGGCCAATGGTGTGGTTCAAGTCCTAAATCTAGTAGCTTGGGAATTATGCCTGGTATGTGTGTGTATGCATACCCCAAGTCCCCTGAGGGGTGCTTTCTCACTTTCTGTCTCTCTCTGGTGAACACACATACTCTATAGCAATTTTTATCTTTTTTTTTTAAATCATTGCCAATAACATGAGAGAGGCAACATCGCGTGATTAAGACCATGAACTTTGGAGTCAAACTGCCTACTCTTAGTGATATGACCAGGGTGAGCTGTTTAAAAGTGCCTCAGATCCCAATGTATAAAATGAGATAACGGTATCTGTGGTGCCTTCCCCCAAAGGGTTCTCATGAGGATTCATGGCCAGTTTAGTAAACCCTAAGTGCAGGGCACAGAAGGAGTGTGCTGGCCCTTCAAACATGTCAGACTTGTTCCTGGATTAGGGCTGGCCCTCCTACCTCCTGATCTGTTTGTATTCCTGTCCTTCCTCTGCTCTGTTTAAAGGCCACGTCTTCATAGAGGCCCTCATTACTCTCCAAACTGACCATCAGTCCCTTGTGTCACATCACCCTGTTTTTATTTTGTGTAACAACTGTTTTCCAATATCATTTCGGTTTATTTTTTCAATTTCCTCCTACTAGAAAAGTCCTGGGAGAAGGGAGGGGAGCATATCTAGTTCACAGCTGGGCCCTATCTCCTGAGATGTGCCTGTTACGTAGCAGGCTAGCGATCAGTTATCTGTTGTATGTAACTGCTTTGAGCTCAGTCACAAAGAAAACAATATAAAAGGCAAAGAAAAATCAGCCCAAACAAAGACCCTAAGTGCCATGTTGAAAACTGGGCAAAACTCTACATGTGCCATGTTCTAGAGCCTGTTACATGCATCAGCTTCTGTAGTCCATCAGTCCTAAAACAGGAGAGATTAGGTCCTTCATCTGGTATATGGGATCCAGCCTGGCTCCCACTACTTTCCCTTCACACACCCCACCACCAAGTTCCTCCCTGGGTCCCAAGAATCAGGCCTCACACTGCTGGTGATGTTCCCTGAAATGTGCTTCCAGACTCTGCCTCTCCACTCTTCTAAAGGCTACATTCCAGCCTGGGCTCCTCCCTCCTCTGGGTGTGACCATCTTAATCTGCACCTGGCCCTTCCACACTGCCCCTAGGCTGCGGTCACTTTCAGTACATCCTGGGATCCAACTGACTGTGAGTCTCTACTGAGGACCTTGTATTCACATATGGAGGTAATGCCACTTTACTATGAAGTGCAAGTCAACTCTATTAAGAATTAAGCATGTCTAGGACTAATAACCAGTGTCTATCCTGAAGTTAAAAAGAGAACGATGGTCCTACGGGTGAAGGCAGCCTTCAAGGCTGTAAGGTACTCTGGCGAGGAAGCAAATGTTAACTTTTCGGTGGGATCACTGATTAGTACAAAATCAGCCTGGAGAACCTATCATTTTATTGTCTTAATTTGGAGTGTTATCAAAATATAATTTTGAATCATCAAACCAGTTCCCTCTCAGCCCGTTCAGTAACAGCTTCATCCGAAAACTTAATACTAAATTCTACAGGTAAGACCTAATTACAAACGCGGTGGTAGGGAAAAGGGCATTCCCACCACACAAATCTATCCCAACTCCCAGAAAGCTGTGAAGGCAGCAACTGACCAGGTTCCCCAGATGTCCCTGCCGGGTGGAAAAAAGAATAAAAAGCGGCAGAGCGGGCAAGGTTGCGGCCCACTCCAAGCGCCTCTTCCGGGAACCTCTCCCGGCCTGTCCCCTCCCGGGCCCCGACGGCCCTTCCCGACCCGGCCCTCAGCTCAGCTCAGCCCAGCCCGCCGCGGCCTTGACAGCCCGGAAAGAGGCGGAGGTGGTCCCGCCCGGCGGGCCCCGCGCCACGCAGCCCGCCCCCGGCACCTCGCAGCTCCGCGGC